TCCGAAAATACCACCAAGACTACCCAGTCAGGAACTGCCACTGACAAAATGTACAAGTCAAGCACAGAACTCTCTCCCCTCCCCTCCCCCCCCCGATCTGGTGAACTCCTGAAAAGTGGAATGTCCCCCAGACCCTCGGTTGGTCTTTACAAAACGGAATGTCCACAATCTGTCAGCCCCGGTGGTATATAGCCAGCCGTGATCTTGCTACTGCCAGCCCCCAGCTGTTTCTCCAGACAGGGGCACAAATCCTTTTATGGTTTCCATAAGAATAACGTTGGACAATGAATCACAAAGGGAAACGGAGACCATGTAACATAGCAGCCATATGTTTCCTGAGCATGGGTGTCCACACAAGACCACATAGAGACAATAGTTTAGGATGCAACAGGAAGAAAACAAAACTTTTCTGTCGTTCAGTAGTTTTTGGCCCTAGTCCTGAGATGTTCAAATATGCTTAAATTTGTTTGCTTCTGTTTAAATGCAGGTTTATTTAGCTAGTGATTGGCATTTTATTTCGTTTATTGTATATTTTGATTGGAATGGTGACTTGATATGAACTCCCCAGAATTTATTGTATATTTTGATTGGAATGGTGACCATATCAAGAAAGTGTTTGCACTAATGGGGCGGCATAGAAGTTCAAATAGTGTTTGCACTAATGGGGTGGCATAGAAGTTGAAATGATAGATGGGTAGACAGACAGACAGACAGATAGATAGATACTGTTCTTTTGCTTTTTCACATTTTGTAAATCCCAATTGTTTTCACTGACAGCAAATAGATACACTCCTGTTGCAAACAGTAATCAGTTATACTATTAGAACTGTGATCCATGGGGGAGGTGGGCCGTTGTGATTAAAATTACTGAATTTCCTTAACCAGGATTATTTTACTAGATATTAAATAGAGCAAAAATCCTTAGTGTGCATGTACGGATGTGTGCATTCACGCACACACATGCCTCTAACTATTAAAAGGCTGGCAGTAGTATGGTTTCTAAATCAGGTCATGCACAGCCATCTGCATAGTGATTCCACAGCCTGAACCCTAGATTTTCAACTGACCTGTTCCTAATATGAGCATTGCCTGCTAGCACGTAGTTATGTGGTGAAGCAGATTTAATTCATAAAGTTGAATCCACCACATAAAGATATGCCTTCATGTAATACAAACTATGGAATGGATTTTTTTTAAAGGCAACTGTTCCTTTATCCATTGTATAAAGTGTTCATGAAGGAGAATTAATGTCTTAGATATCACTTTACCTTTATGATATTTTCCTAGACATTGTTCCCCTGGGCAAGATTAAATAGAAGTTCTAAAATTGGCAAGGTAGGGCAATTATCTTATCTGTCTAATAGCAGTGCCAGTAAATGAGCGTATTGCTGTCACCAAAAGGCACTGAAAAGCATAACACAATGCAAATATAAATACTAGTAACTGCCACGATTGTAGCCTGCTGCAGATTTTTGTCCTAAGAAAGAGGTATATTCATTATTCTCATGATAAAAAAACAAATTGTTCCATGTCACATGTGGCTTTTTTGGCCGTTTCCACAAAACTACATTCATAAGAATGGCATGTACATTACACATGGACTTCATACAATGGATGCTGTGCATTGTTAGGCCAGTATCTTTTTGTCTTTTGTTCCAGTGAACTTGGGGTTGTTTGGAAATAGCTTGCCTTTTCCCCCAGGGAGATCAGTGAACAAGCTTCCCTGGAAGAAAAAATGCTGGCTATTATTGATTATTCTTTGAAGTAAATGTGCAACCCTAGGGGAATGTTATATGTTGTAGAACACAGTTCTTCTGTATATACAAAGCAATTATGAGATCCAAGGAACATGGCCAAACCTCCACATGAACCACTTGGAGAGGCAGTCCATAGTTTGGGACCTCCTGTTAGAGCATCAGGGTTCTGTGCTAGACAGATCAATGTAGAAGATGTTTTCATAAAGGCAAAACATTTAGGGCCTTTACTCAGTAGTTGAAGGGCAGCACCTTATGTTGAGTGTTGGATTGCAAAGAGACTTTTGGTGGTCTTATTACTACTTAGGAAAAATTTTGGTACCTTGAAATATCAGAAAACTGCAAGATGTCCTTGTTTATAGAAGCAGTCCCCAGAATTTCACAGCATTACTATAGTACATTGTTTAATGAGGATGCAAGAGAGAGCCTTCTCAGTAGTTGCTTTGAAATATGTTGCCCCAGAAGCCAGGTTGGCCCCCTCCCTCTTGTCTGTTCTGTTCTAGAGCAAAGACCTCTCTTTTCTGGCAGACTTTTAACTGATAAGTGGGAGTTTGAGGAATGCTATATCTATTGAATATAGAAATTTAACAAATGTTTCAAAACTGTTTTAATGGTGGTTTTTAATATTGTTATATGCGTATTTGCTTTTTTGGAATTCTTTCATAGAGTGTTTTAAATTGTGATTATTGTGTAATTGTAATTGATTATGAACTTCCTTGAATCCCCAATGGGGACAAAGGCAGCATATAAGCAAAGCAAAACAAAACAAAACAAGGGGAACAGTTTGAACAATGGGGACAAAGGCAGCATATAAGCAAAAGAAAACAAAACAAGGGGAACAGTTTGAGAATTTCATTACACGACCAATGTATTCTGTTCCTACATATTACTGGAAAGAGTATTTCTTTCAAGATGACCCAGCACTTCCTTTTTTCTTTATACTTTTGTCTAACTGATTTGTTAGAAAGTGATTTTCCCCCCCAGTATTATCCAGTTTCAGGCTTAAGATGAAAAATGAGAAAATATTTGCCTCTTCTAATGCTTTTGGGTTGACTCATTGAGATGTTTGGAGAAATAGGAAGGCAGTCTCTATTCTCAAAATAGTTCAGAGAATATAATGTTTGGTAAAACTCAGAAGTGAAACTTGAAAGAAGTGCCATCTGGGGAGAACTGTTCTTATTTTGTTAGTCTGTTGGTGTTGCTGATGGGGCTACTTTGTGTATTCACTCTCAAACCTAGTGAGACGTTTAGGTGGAGGGCTTACATGTTCTTCTAATACACTTCTAATACACTTTTCTCTGCATGATTTTCTGTGTCTTCGTCCATACATTATGTCTGCTCAAAAGTAAGGCTAATGAGTTCAGGAAATTGTGCATATGATTTAAGTCCTAATTTTTAAAAGAGGGAAAATGGAGCCGCCAGCACATAGAGGCCCTCCATTCTTTTTGCTTGGTTGGAGGTCAGAAGGGTGTCAGGAACAAAGACAATGGAAGCAAAAAAACAAAACAAAACAGGAAGAGAGGGTGGGGCTTGCCTGAAATGCCAGAGGTGGGGAAAGAACTTTACCAATCAAGTTTATTTTATTTCTTTATTTATTAAATTTGTATCCCACCCATTTTGACATCGACTCTGGTTGGCTATTCACAATAAAATAGAATAAAATCAGTCAAATTAGTGGCAAAGGACAATCATGTTAGTCTGTAAAGCTCCCTTCCACTGATACCCAGTATTAATGCATGCAAGAACTATCCTGATTTATTTATTTATTTGATTTATATTCGGCCCATCTAGACACAGTCAACTCTGGGCGGCTCACAACAAAGAATATAAAAACAGTTAACATATAAAATAGTTATACCATCATTTACAGAGATTAACAATCATTCAAGATGGAAATCAGAAGATATTATGTGGTGCCTGGAGGGAAGGCCTGTCTGAGTAGCCAGGTCTTAAGTTGGCTCTTGAAGCTGCCCAGTGAAGGGGCGAAGCGGATCTTGGAGGGGAGATTGTTCCGCAGACGGGGAGCCACTGCCGAGAAGGCCCGGTGTCTTGTTTTTTCTTTCTGGACCTCCCTCGGCATTAGGCTCCTCAGTCGCCCCTCCTGGCTAGAACAAGTGATACGAGTAGATCTAGGTGGGAGGAGGCGTTCCACCAAGTATCAAGGTCCTAAACCATTTAGGGTTTTGTATGTAATCATTAAAACTTTGAAATCAATCCAGAAGCAAACGGGCAGCCAATGCAAGGCATCCAGAGTGAGAGTGATATGTTGGTGTTTTCTCACCCTACTAAGAAGTCTGGCTGCCGCATTCTGCACCATTTGAAGCTTCCATATCAATCTCACCTGATCCCTCTACTTGCAGATTAGGATTAACATTTTCATTGAATTTCTGAACAGGACATATTGAATGCAGGGGATGGGCTATAGCAGTGATTCCCAGCATTGGGTTCCCAGATGTTCTTGGACTAAAACTCCCAGAAGCTTTTACCACTGTTGGCCAGATTTCTGGGAGTTTTAGTCCAAGAACATCTGGGAACCCAATGCTGGGAATCACTAGGCTATAGCTTTCTTTAGTTAGGTGAACCCCAAGATATTGGATTGCTTTAGGAAAAGGACAAGTTGGAACCTTGTTCCGTTCTATATACAGTAGTTGCTTGGACTATAAGTTGAGTCTTGTGTCAGCGGTGCAAGTTGGATAGGTCCTCCACAATTCCTGAGGTTACCAGAACAGGCTTGGCTGTGTGGCATACACAGCATTGTCCTTTAAGAAAGAGGAAAGACCAAGGGCTCAGGACTGCAACTCCAACACCTATAAACTAAGGCAGTTGTCTCACTCTTATTTAGTAGGGCCAACCTTGGTACTTTTCAATATAGTAAGGCTGCAGATAATGAATGGAGTTATATTGGCCAAAAATGAAGTTTTTCCTTCAATGTGCATTGGGATTCCTCAGATAGACAACAGTACAGTTGAGTGCTTGGCATTTTAGATGTCTTCCAGCAGGATAAACAGCCTGAGAAGCACCTATGTATATTCACTACATCTGCATATGATGAATTAGACTGTAGTCCACAATGTTTATGCGAAATAAAACATTAATCTTTAAGGTGACTGTTTTTTTCCTCAATAAAACCATATGTGATAAAAGAGGTGAATTTCACAAATGAGGAAACAATTATTAAGATTATTCATTCATTGTTTATCTTACAATAAATTTTACCCCCTCCTTTTTTTTTCTTTTGATCTTTAGGAGAAGCTAAAAATCTTCCTACATATCCAGGGCCAAACAAGATGAGGGATTGCTACTGCACTGTAAACCTGGACCAGGAAGAAGTTTTCAGGACCAAAATAGTGGAAAAATCACTATGGTAAGTTTTTTACATTAAATATGTAGGGAAAATGCAGACCTTGGAATGTTATGTTTTCAAAGGAACTAGTTGTGTTACCATTATGTCTCAGCACCAGGTTTCCATTTTCATTGCTTGGTAAGCCATGTTATTGTTTATCTGAAAGGGATGGGCCTTTCAGATTTTCAGAACTGGGTGAGGAGAAACCAGAAGGCAAAAGAGGTCTTCTTCTTACCATTTTCTGTTTTAGTACAGAAAATTCTACTTTGAAGAATAAAAGAATGCACCCTCGTTTCTGCTGCTCCCTGGGAGTTACCCCAATGCTCCATGAGAAGCATAGTTCAGTTAGGGGCTCCCCCTATAGAGTCTAATGGGTAGCAAGACTACCTTCACCATAGGTAAATCAAATCATCAGGAGGATGCATATTTGAAAAGTGAGCATGAAATGCTTATCAGGAGGGATCATAGACTAAAAACAGTTGAGAAATTGAACAGATAAACAAACAACAGAATTTTCAGTATTCAGATCCTTACAGTGAGGAAAAGATACTTGCCTTTTGAACAAAAATTCTCAGTACATCTGTGATAGTAGCAAATGCCAGCATGAGATTCAGCAAAAGCAGCAAGAGATTTAGATAATACACAGTGATACATTTCTAACTTAAGTAACACTCTTTGGCATCTGCTCGCAGAAAGTCAGTCGTCAAAAGATCTGACCAAATCTGACACACAGGAACAGTGGACGAAGAAATTTAACTTTAACTAATATGTAAAATATGTTACGTTTGATAAAAGACAGATGTTCCTCAATTTTGCTTAGGCCACAAGAAATAAAAACAGACAACAGATTTCTGGTTTCTTTTTTCAAAAGTGTTAAATAGCACCTGTGGGAGAATCTGGCTAGCTCTGAGAATACTAATAAAGCCTTACCTCCTGATGCAAATGGCAGTCCTTGGAGATGTGAGGTGTGCTCACTGTGATCACAGCAGGGATTAAACTCTCCCTCCTCATCCTTTGTATCCTTAGTATTGTTCATGGTCCTCTGGAGCTGCTATTTACATTTTCTTAAACATGTATGGTAAGTATATCCACATTACTAATGTCACATTTCATTTGTTTCTTAATCTCAAGAGCATCCATAAATTGATGTAGCTTTTTGTGTCCATTCAGACATTTTACCTCTCCCTCCTCTGTTTCTCAGCCTCTGTGCACAGTGACATCTGTAGTGAGGCTTGGGCTTGCACATGTTCTTTTTCCCACTGGTGTCCTTCTTAGAATGAGAAGATGGTAGCGAGTGTAGTTGTGGGATTGTGTTCAAATAAGCATGGTGTCCAGAATATGGAAGAATTACATTGTGGGCCTACAGCTCTTAGATTTCCACTTAGAGCATTTTCTCTTAGAGCAATGCAAAATGCATAGAGCATTCAGGAAGAGAAAGTCACACCTGAATGGACATTTGGGTTATTTGCAGATGATTGTTCTTTAGGTTATTCACTAATGTCTGGCTGGATAGTTCAGTAGTTGGAGCACAAGAGTTCAAGTAGTTTATCCTGAATGTATCACATGAAGCACTCATTCTCCTCTGTTCAGCACTGGTTAGGCCTCATCTTGAATACTGTGCCCAGTTTGGGACACTGCACTTTAAGAAGGATACAGACAAACTAGAAACAGGTTCACAGAAGGGCAACAAGGATGGTCAGGGAACTGGAAACCAAGCCCTATGAGGAAAGACTGAAAGAACTGGGCATGTTTAGCCTTGAGAAAAGAAGACTGAGGGGAGTTGTGATAGCACTTTTCAAATACTTGAAAGGTTGTCATAAAGAGGAGGGGCAGGATCTGTTCTCCATCATTCCAAAATGCAGGATGCATAATAGTGGGCTCAAATTAAAGGAAGCCAGTTTTCGATCAAATGTCAGGAAAAACTTACTAACAGAGAAATTGCAATGGAACTAATTACCTTGGGAGATGGAACATTCAAGAGAAAATTTAGGCATCCATTAGCCAAATATACTTTGATTTGGATTACTGCATTGAGCAGGAGGTTGGACTTGAAAGCCTGACGGGCCTCTTCCAGTTCCATTATTCTGTGATTCTATAACACCCTCAGAAAGATTCCCCAAAGTGAAAACTTAACTTGATGGTATATAGTTGTTGTTGTTATTTGCTGATGAATTAATGTATTTATTTTTAAAAATATTTATCCCCCATTTCCTCCTAAAAGGACCCAAGGCAGCTTGCAGTATTAAAAGCAAACAAAAAGAGATAAAAAAATTATTATTGTATTTAAAAAGGATTGAACAAATAAAGTATTAAAACTAATGGGTAAAAACGGTTCTAAAACACACTGAAAACAACAAGAACCTATTCAGAGAACCCTCTCTTAGGCAGCCAGTCACTGAGGGAAAGCGCCTGAAGAGAAAGGTCTTTTCCTGCTTGCAGAAAGACAGCAAAGAGGGAGCCAGCCTCACCTGCAGTGAAGGGGGGGGGGTTCCAGAGCCTGGGAGCAGTGGCAGAGAAAGCCCTCTCTCATGTCCCCATGAAACACACCTGTTGGGATGGCAGGACTGAATAAAAGACCACCCCTGTTGATCTAAAAACCTGGGCAGACTCATTATGGAGGTATAGTCTCTAAAACAGCTTGGATCTGAACCATTTAGGAATTTGGAGATCACTTTGAATTGTGTCTGGAAATGGGCTGGCGGCCAATGGAGCTGCTGTAAAAGGGGAGTTACAGTGTCTCTATAACCAGCCCCAGTTAACAATCTGGGTGCAGCTTTTTGGACCCACTGAAATTTCCAAGCATTTTCCAGAGGCAGCCCCATGTAGAGCATATTACAGCACACCAACTAGAATATAACTAAGGTACGTGTCATCATGGCTGGATTAGATATTCTCTGGAGTGGGTACTGTTGGTACACTAGCTTTAATTGTGCAGATGCATGCATGGCCATAAATGAAACCTGGGCATCCGGGCTCAAGGACAAATCCAGGACACATTCAAACTGGTGCCCATGTTTTCAGGGGGACCATAACCCCATCAAGCACAGGGTGGATTCCTATCCCTGGTCTGTCTTTTGATTGAACAGGACTACCTCTGTCTGGTCTGGATTAATTTCCAGTTTATTTATCCTCATCCAGTCCATTAATAAGACCAGGCACCAATTTAGAACCAAAACAGCTTCCTTGGCTTTAGGTGGAAAGGAAGACAGGATTGGGTGTCATGAGCATATTGGTGACACTGAACCTCCAAACTGTGAACAACCTCTCTCAGGAGTTTCATGTATATGTTAAATAGCATAAGAAATAAAACAGAACCCTGAGGGACACCACAGACCAACAGCCAGAGTATGGAACAGGAGTCCTCCAGCACCACCTTCTGAGTTCTTCCCTCCAGGAAATGTGAAACAGTATCTCCACCTTCCACAGTCCAGAAAGATATGATAGCTGATTGCATCAAAAGCTTCTGAGAGGTCCAGCAGAACTAACAGGGGCACACTCCCTGTGTTCAGTTCCAAGTCGTTCACAAAAGCAACCAAAGCAGTCTCTGTCCCATAACCAGGCCTGAAGCCAGACTGAATGGACCTAGTCAAGTGGTACTTAACCTTAGATCACTAGACGTTCTTGGACTGCAGTTCTAAGAAGCCCTTGCCAGCACAGCTAGTGGTGAAGGCTTTTGGGAGTTGCAGTCCAAGAACATCTGGGGAACAAAGTTTGGGAACCACTGATCTAGATAATCCATCTCACCCAGGAATCCCTGAAGCTGTGAAACCACCATATGCTCCAGTACCCTGTCCAGAAATGGAACATTAGAGATTGGCCACTAATTATCAAATACCTTGGGATTCAAGAAGGGGCTTTTTTTAAAGCAATGGTTTTACTGTTGCATTCTTTAAACATTCTGGGATCCAGCCCTCTTGCAAGGAGGCATTTACCACTCCTCCTGCCCACTCAGCCAGTCCCCTTCTGACAGCTTTTATAAGTCAGGGAGGGCAGAGTTCAAAAAACATGTGGGGAGTCTCACCTCGTCAAGAGTCCTGTTCACCTCTTCAGGCTGCAAGACTAACAAGGCTAGTAACACTTACTTGGGATCTACATCAGAGCTTTCTGCAGTTGGGATATATTGCACTTTGCTTATGATCTTACAGAATTAATACTAGTCTGCAGTAGTTAACACTTGCACATAGGAAAAGAGACAGTTGAGAAACAGAGCTTGTATCTAGTAAGATCATCTAAAAAATGAGAGTAAGGTTACAGTCCTAAGCAAACGTACTTGAAAGTGTTCTCTTTGAAATCCAACAAATAAATATGTTGAATTTTTTAAAATAAAAAAGGCCATCACTTAAATTCCTTTCTCTTGCTCACAACATGGAGCTGCACAGAGAGCATTTTAATATTTCAAAGATCATTAAAATGGCTCACAGGAGGCTTTATTGTCTACATTGACGTCACTTGACTGGACTAATCCAATAACCCTTTCCTATTGAGAAAATAAGTCCTTTGAGGGTGGAGGGAAAAAAGGAAAATGCTATTTTTAGATGTTTCTATAAAATGAAAGTGGTATATTGAAGCTCTTCTTGCAATCAAATGCCTGTTATATTTAAATGAAGCAAACTCCACATTCAGCTCTTAAGATAAGACCAAGGAATGTTTTATTCTGTTTCATTTTTTTCATTCTTCCCTCTTCATGTCATTCTCTACAACACGCTCCTCCCAAAGTCTTAGAGCAGAGGGAGGGGCCAGATTTGCAAAACCCCAGCTTCCAATTGTGTATGTACTCAGGAATAAAAATAGTGCAAGATATTGCTCCCTCAATTGTACGTTCATTTACACCATTCATCTAGCACAGAGAGCAATTGTCATTGCATCTGCTCTGCCTCTAACACATTACTTGGGTCTCCTTCCCTGGCTTCATCTTACTCTGCATTCACACAACTACCCCTGTGTCTGGCCCACCTCCTAATCCTTTATGCCTGTTTTCCCCGTCAAATCTCCACTCCTAGCGAATCCCCCCCGCCATCTCA